AAAAAAAAAATGATTGTAAGTTTATTTTACATCACTCTTATAAATGCAATTTTTCTGAGTATAATATATAATGCAGAGTTTTCCGAGCATAAGTCTTAAAATTAACAAAAAATAAAAATAAAATAATACTATATGTCAATCTCGATTGATTTGTAATCCTATTTTTCGTATCTTTTATTTATTAATAGTTTCTATACATGACATATCAAATTAATTATCATCCAATATTTTTGGTTCGATATTCTTATTGTTATTATATATATAATCAAATATAATTACACTGGAATTTCAAATTAAATTTGAATGCTTTATTAGTATGGATTAGTACGTTAAGTATTTTCCGTTTAAACTAATTAAATAGTTTCGTAAATAAAAGTACTCTAGCATCGATTGACCACAAAAGTTGAGAAACAATAAATTAAATGGCTGACTTTTTTACAAATAGCGTTTGGATGAGATGACTTGGGTCTCTTCGAGCTTAACCAGTGATCTCGTGTTCGAGCCCTGGGAATGCAGCAGTGTTAAAACTCTTGAGGGAGAGCTTTGCCGCCGTTGTGGTCCTACCCGGCTCGATTCCGAATTAGTGGCCGCCCTTGTGGTTCTACCGGGCTCGATTCCGGATTAGGGTTCCCCTGTGGATCCAGAAAGCGGAAGGTCCTTGTACCAAAAACAAAATGGCTGACTTTTATAGAGAAAACCAAAATATTAATATTAAAATTAAGAAAGTCAAACTATCTCGTCCTTTGAACCGAAATAAAAATGTGTGACGACGCTGCATGAATATTGTGACTAGGAATAAATTTGAATCAAATCATCTCCTACACAAATGCTTTGCTTAGGCTATCTAAATCATTAGGTAGTCATTTTTCTTAATTAAAAAAAATGTAACGATATTTTAAAAGATTTGTTATTACAATTATTCGAGATTTGTTATCACAATTAGATCAAATTTGTTACTAAAGTCTGAAATTTGATATCAAAATCCGATCAAAGTTGTTACCATATTCCGATTAAATTGTTTACATGTGGGACTCATTGATATTGCTTATATGAGTAAGTCAACAATTATTTCTTAAGTCAAAGTAACTATATTTTATTTTTTTCCAACAACCTCTTTATATTACTATAGATATTGTAAAACGGCAAGACAACTATATATTTTCGATAAAATTGCATACTTCAAACAGAATGTCATACTATATAAGTAAAATTCTTATGACATTTCATAAAAAAATGTTTATTTTAAAAAATTTTAAACGATTGATCCGCTTAACGATTAGATCGCCTCACTAAAAAACATTCTGTAAAATATGTAGTAATTTTCTTTAAATTATATTTGAAATATGTATATATTTTTAGTATAAACACATATACCTATTTATTGAAGAAATATAATTATCAAATAGTTAGGCAAACTTTTAACAAAAAAGATTTATTGTATCTCTTAATTATGTATATGAAGATACTTCACATGTTTAATTTTTAGATTTTATGAATAAAATGTCAAATTGGAAAATAAAAATGGCAACTACTCAACACAATAGGTAAGAACTTTCGCACTATAGCTTAATTAATTCACTCTTTTACAAATATTAACTTTTAATTCTCTAGTTAAGAATCTTAAGTTGAATTAAAAATTAAATTTTGCAGAATGCGTGGGAATATTTTTGAATTAATTTATATTATTCTTCATGAATTAATTATATTATTTAAATTTAAAAAGAACAATGCTGCATAGTTGTTCTGAACTTCTGATAATCTCGAGCTTAATTAGATACTCAGGATTACAGTATTATTGAATTTAAATTTTGTACTGTGATTATAATTGAAGTATACGTTTTATTATAAAGTGTTTAAGCTTTTGTTAAAAAGCGTGCTTTATATTCACTACTTTTAGTTTTGATGTATAGGTATAAATACCCATATTAGGATTTCTGTATTTTTCACTTTTCATTTTTCTGATTTTCATTCTCTCTTTTTCTCTCGCCGCTCAATCTTCCCTCTCTCTCTCTAAGATGTATCTCATCGATCTACTGTAAACTCTCCTCGATTTTATGTTGATGTATAGTTTTTTAGATTGAATCTCAGTTCCAATATGGTATCAGAGCGGGCATGTTCTAGGACCTGCAATGACTCTCTCTACCAGGCATGCTCTGGGCTTGGGTTTATCTCTCTACCCGGTCTGTTATGTGGGCTTGGGCTTACGAAGGACTCACAAGTGAGGGGGCGTGTTGGAATATCACTTGTGAGTGTCCCACATTGATTTGATAGGGTAAATGAGCCTAGTTTATATGTCTAGTGGGCTACTCTTCCCATCACCAATTGATTTTGGGATGGAACTTCACTAAGGTGCATCTAGACTCACCATCTTATGGTGCGCCTTCATCTGGTGGAACCGCACTCTCTTCCCTCGATTCTAATAATTAAAATAATATTAATAATTGAACAAATTGTACCTTTAAGAGGGGAAATAAAAAGGAACAATGAAATAAAATTGTTCGAGTGGCTATATAAAATCGATATATTTGAAATCTGATCTTAGATTTAGTCCGTAATGACAAGTCACAATCCTTGGTGGCCCTAATTGAATTGAGACCATTATAGATTAAGAAAATATTACGGTTTTGTTACGGAATTATTCCATTGGGTTTATAATCGTTAGATCATTATATAACCGTCGGGTATGGTTGATCTAACAGTCACAAAATCCGACGAAATGATTTCGTAACGAGACTATAGCATCTCCCTATATATATAGTACTAAATTGAACATATGTGGCATGATTATTGATTTATGAATATTATACGTTTCATTTGAATATCATACATGACTTGGAAATAAAAAATAAAAATATGGATATTACAACTATTAATCACTCAGACTATCAACTTTTAATTAATTTTATTTTATGTCTTATAGTAAATATGAAAATTGATCTGGAATATGATGGATTATTTGCATGTTTGTAGTTTAAAATAAAAATAAAATAATAGTCATTGTCCCTTTTTTGACTGGTAAGTAAATCTATAAACGGGGTCAATGCCATTTGTCTTATTATTATTATTATTGTTTGTCCAATTTTAACGACAACTTGTGCAAATGTGGACAGAGGTGTAATAGATTCGATTTTACTCATCATTATCATTATGCTAAATAAAATAGATAGTCAAAGCAAAAATGATTTTGACTTTTTTGTAAAATGTATATTTGCTTTGACCTTCTCCAAAGAATTACCAATCATTCATAAAACGTTATGTCTAATAGTAATAAAATTACCCTAATTTGATTTGATTTAAATAAAAAAAATTGAAAATAAATATTGAACAATGTATATTTCCTTAATTACAAGTTTCATTTTGCTGTCGAGGTGTAAACAAGCCAAGCTCGAACTCCTTATACTCGAGCTTGAGTTCGAGCCTTTATCAAGTTTCATTTAGTGAAGGTAGAAATGAATGTTTTGATAAAAAGTGAAAAGTGAATATAAAAAGACATAATGTATTTATTAAATGAATGACATTAATAAAAAAATATGTAGAAAAAATCCAGAACGACATTTATTTGACAAATAGTTGATGAAACTACAATGACATTTAAAAAAAATAAGAGGAAGTATTAATTTTAGAATCTGAGTTTAATAGTAGAATTTATTATTTAACAACTTAAAATAAACGAGGTTGATGGATTACATAAGTGATCATGATTTTACCATTGTTGCCAAAAAAAATAAAAAATTATTATGCATAAGTCAATGCAAAAAATTAATCAGAAAAAAATGAATTAGGTCATCCAATAAAAGAAAATCTTAAACATGGACTAAACAAACTAATTATAAAATA